GCACTGAAGAGATGAGGGATTATTGTGAAGAAAGAAAACAAAATTGCTTAGCTGGAAAAAATAAGAAGGCACAAACCCTATAATGCAAGTCATTGGGTGCTAGTAATTGTAGCTCTGTGTGGCTTTAAAGGTGGACTAAATCTGAATTAGGGACGCAGGTGGCGCTGTGGGTAAAACCTCAGTGCCTAGGACTTGCCGATCGCATGGTCGGCAGTTCGAATCCCCGCGGCGGGGTGAGCTCCCGTCTTTCGGTCCCAGCTCCTGCCCACCTAGCAGTTCGAAAGCACCCCTAAATGCAAGTAGATAAATAGGTACCGCATTATAGCGGGAAGGTAAACGGCGTTTCCGTGTGCTGCGCTGGTGCTGGCTCGCCAGAGCAGCTTCGTCACGCTGGCCACATGACCCGGAAGTGTCTGTGGACAGCGCTGGCCCCCGGCCTCTTAAGTGAGATGGGCGCACAACCCTAGAGTCGGACACGAGTGGCCCGTACGGGCAGGGGTACCTTTACCTTTAACTTAAATCTGAATTCTCCTCATCCCAAGCGCCAGCCTAGGGGATGTGGGTGACCCCCTTCCTTTGTTCAACTTGCATAACTTTAGGGTAAAAGAGTAGCCATGTTAGGGAATCTCCCCGCCCCCCACCCCTCCACAGACTGGAATTGACATGCAGCAAGGTTCGTGCTTAGTCTAAACCCCCATCTCGGCCTCTGAAAGGACACATTATACAAATCTTCCCGCGGTCTTGAAATCCCCTAAAACGTGATTGTGTCAGACATTCTTCTTTGCCAAGGCATCCTTTCCTCCCTCCCTTATTCAGAATTCCAGTATCAGAGAGTATAACCTTGGAAAAGTATTCACTGGGGAGCACACACAGAGTCAATAATTCATGCTGCTTCTGCTGGGCGGCGGCGGCGGGGGGGCAGGGGGCATTTGGCTGGCCTCCGATATGATATACAGAATAATGCATTAATGACTGCCCCTGCACCACGTTATAGAGAGATTTTTACACCTTCCTTCTGCCCCCCCCATTAAAAACCCCAGAGTTATTTAAAAGGCAACTCTGACCACATGTGCAGAAATATGCATGGGATTGTTTTGAATTGTTTCCTTGTTGGTGTGGGAGAGAGCAACCTCCTCCCTCCCTAAGCTGGTCCGGAACTGGAGGAGAGTAAGATCCACAAGCCTCTAATTCTCTTAATATTAATCCAACAATCGATATGCTTTGGGCCCATTGGAGTTTTGATGGACAGAAATAAATAAAGCGTTGCCGCCTAACTAAGCTCAGTAGGTATGATGTTTTCCTGATGTCATATATCTGCCTTAAAGACGACCACTTCTTCATTAAAGACCCCAAATAAGAACAACCTCTAATACGGTTTGGGGCCCACGGCTTTCCCACCTGCAGTTTAAATGCAAAAGATTTAATGATTTAGAAACCAGAAGAATAACTAAAGAGCCCAACAGTCATTATCTCAAATAATGAGACTTTTTAATGCAAAATCAATGTTTGTTATAATGAAAATAGATTCAGCAGTTCCTGCAGGCCCAGATGTACAAATCTTCCTGGCTGGGGAATAAAATGTGGCTCCATATTTCCACCACCCTGCTGGAGATTTTTTATCCAGGAGTAAAAATAAAATGTCAGACGTTATTTACTGCTATCAACTGTTTGTTCTCAGTCAGAAGTTTTAGCTGAGACAGGATTCATACGGAAAATAATCCTGAGTGAATAGTTAAGGGTGGAAATGGGGACAGAACTGCCCCCACCCCACAATGACCCCTCTTCCCATACATCCCCGTTTTAGCTGCACAAAGAGGGAAAGGACCCCTGTACTGTTGGCAGTTGATGCGCAGAAGCCGTAGGAAGGCAGCATCCTGTGGAGGGAAAACCTGCATCAGTGAAAATGGTGACATACCTTTACATTTATATCTGTTGAAATCCATTCTGTTTGTTTGTTTCTCTCTATTGGGATAGTTGACTCAATTACCTATTGAAACCCTTTAGTATGCAAAGCATGCAGCATTTCACCAGTCAATCTTAGGTACAGAGTAGACTTTACCTGTTGCAACCACACACTGAAAGAGATGCTTGTGGGTAAGAAAATAATAAAATTATTTACTGTAGGGAATCCATAACTTGGGTAGAAAATGTTCCTAGTTCTAGCCTAATTTGCTAATCTAGAAAAGAACAAGGTGGCTATGCTAGCTCCTTTGTTCTGTAAGTGAATAGTTGACAAACCTAGACAGTGTCCTAAAAAGCAGAGACATCACCTTGCCAACAAAGGTCCATAGTTAAAGCTATGGTTTTCCCAGTAGTGATGTATGGAAGTGAGAGCTGGACCATAAAGACGGCTGATCGCAGAAGAATTGATGCTTTTGAACTACGGTGCTGGAGGAGACTCTTGAGAGTCCCATGGACTGCAAGAAGATCAAACCTCTCCATTCTTAAGGAAATCAGCCCTGAGTGCTCACTGGAAGGACAGATCCTGAAGCTGAGGCTCCAATACTTTGGCCACCTCATGACAAGAGAAGACTCCCTGGAAAAGGCCCTGATGTTGGGAAAGATGGAGGGCACAAGGAGAAGGGGACGACAGAGGACGAGATGGTTGGACAGTGTTCTCGAAGCTACCAGCATGAGTTTGACCAAACTGCAGGAGGCAGTGGAAGACAGGAGTGTCTGGCGTGCTCTGGTCCATGGGGTCATGAAGCGTCGGACACGACTAAATGAATAAACAACAAAAAGGGCAACTTGCTTTCCCTTTTCTTTTTAAGGAGGATAAGCACACACGCACACACAAACACAAACACATGAAGAGATATGCCAAGTTCGTTTACTGAATGCTCCTAAAATTGACTGAGACAGGGATCCAGCAGGTCCTGTCCCTCAGCTCCCTGCTCTGATCCTGGAAAACCTGGGCTGAATCTGCACATATATAAACAACACTGTGACAATGCTTTTTAAACAAACGTTTTAAAATATATATGGAATTTCACATTAGCTTAACTGTGCCATCTAGTGTAACATTTGTATAATGCGCTTAAAACTCACTTAAAATGTTCTATTTGCAGCAGTATAGCTGAGTCCCTGGATGCAACATGGATGTTCAGCAAATCCTTGCCTTCCCTCATGGTTCATTTTCTAGACTACTGTGTGAAGGGCAGGCAGGATGGAGTATGTTTTAAGCAGCTCTATATACTGCAAAAAAGAAACCAAACCCTTTACAGGTGTATTCGCAAGCCCCGCAATGCACTGGGCCAATCAGCCATGCCCTCAAGTGCCCAGTCCTGTCTGGGACAGAGCACAGAGGAGGATTGCTTTGGATTGCTCATGCAATCAGGGTGTTTCAGGTGGCAAAATGTGGTCATTTTTGACAACTCTGTGGCAAGCTTAATTCCAGGCCCAAGTGCCTGCTGCAATATTCGAAGACACAGTGAGATAATTTCACATGTAAAAGTGCGGGGAGGACGTCATGTAAATTAGTCACAAAAATCTAAAGATACTTTGTTCCCTTTTCCTTCTGGGAGAAAAATCAGGTTCTATTAAGACTGAAATAACCATTGCAGAAAAAGCCCACAGACCATTCACACAGAATATCTATTTTAAACTCAGTCCGAAACTTTTCTGGAGGGAAAAATACCTTGAGACTGAGATACAGCAAGAAGCACAATTTGCATTTCAATGCAAAACATTCCAAAGGTGCAGACAGGAATGCAACTGAGGGCTTTGCCATGCATGGCACTCTGCGGAGGGGGTTGTAGGCCCAGAAATTGCATATTCATATCCCTGAAGAGACTGGGGGCTAGTCAGTCCTGCCTCTTCTCAAGAGTCCTTTGTGTGAATATTATTTGGCGGCAGCTGGGACTGGTGTTCCCGTCTCCCCTCCCCACAAGACTGCTACAGTCTCCATGAGGTGTGATCACCATATGATAGAACCATGAATTGCTTCTTCACACAGCGCTCAGATGTACTGTGGTATTTGTCACCAGCATAGATGGCTTTAAGAGGGGTTGAGGCAGATTTGTGGAGGCCGGGGCTATGAATGGATCCTAGATGCAGTTATGATGGCTGTTTACCACCTTCTTCACCAGAAGTTGTGTGAACGGGTCCTCGCCTTCAAGAACCCCCCTTGGGGACTTTCCATGGGCAGATGGAGGGGGTTCAGCAAGAAGAAGAGAAGAAGAAGAAGAAGAAGAGTTTGGATTTGGTATCCCACTTTATCACTACCCGAAGGAGTCTCAAAGCGGCTAACATTCTCCTTTCCCTTCCTCCCCTAAAACAAACACCCTGTGAGGCGAGTGGGGCTGAGAGACTTCAAAGAAGTGTGACTAGCCCAAGGTCACCCAGCAGCTGCATGTGGAGGAGCGGAGACACGAACCTGGTTCCCCAGATTACGAGTCTACCGCTTTTAACCACTACACTACACTGGCCTTTGGTCACTTCTTATGTTCTTAAGCCCCCATAGACTGCTGTGTACCCTCGTACATCTGCCCCAGATGTGCAGGGATCTCTTAGGTTGTTCCATGGCCAAGCAGCAGAGCTCTGCTGAAGGCACACCCAGCCTGTTGTGAGAGTGTGCACAGGAAGCAAGAGACGATGGCATGAAGGGAACCTGCTGGATCAGGCCCAAAGAAGCCCAGCTAATTCAGCATCCAGTTCTCACAATGTCCAACCATATGGCCCAATGAGACACCAACAAAACCCTTCACTGGAAGTCCTAAAGCAGAGGTTGAGTGGCCACCTGTCATGGATGCTTTAGTTGAGATTCCTGCATTGCAGGGGGTTGGACTAGATGAACCTCGGGGTCCCTTCCAACTGTACAATTCTATGATTCTATAATTTTATGAGTGAAGAGCCTTGGGCAAAGGCGGTAGCCTCTGCTTAAGATGTTAAGTCCTTCCCTAACCCACTTGGCCCAGCTCTGTCTTCCCAGTTGTGGTTGGTTTATGTCCCAGGCAGAAACACACACAGCTCCTCATCTGGATCTCAGGTAACAGCCAGCTTCACCTGACATCTTCGAAGTTATCCTCATGATGCCCAATTTTCTTAGGTTTTTCTTGTGTTGCCACTATTTCTATCCACCTTAAAAGGCAGCAATACTTCCAAGGTAGATAGAAATAGTGGCAATAGAAGAAAAACATAAGAAAATTGGGCATCACGAGGATAACTTCGAAGATGTCAGGTGAAGAATAATTGAACTCAATAGTATTTAGTGCTCCAGAAAACAATTGCGGCCAGGCAGCCCCTCCCCCCATCTGATTCATGTCTAGTTCATGTTTAACAAAACAAGGCTAAGGGTCATGCAGTCTGGAGTCCCATAAATAACCCGCTAATGGGATTTCCAAACAAGCTGTCCCCCAAAATGGTTTTCCGTCTCACAGAGAGAATATTAAAATGCAAATGGATGCGGGCCATGTCCTCATAAACAACCATGTTCATTTAACCCCTGACCTCGCCATTTAGCTGCCCATCCTGGCAATTTGTATGGTGTTGGCTATTGCATGTCACTCCAAAGTGTGAGCTGGGAAGAGCAATGTGCCCAGGGAAGCCGTTACCAGCCGCACAGCTCCGTTTATCACGCTGGGGGGAAGGGGAACTAGCCCTTCCGGAGGCAGGCAGCTGTCCTTTAAAAGCTGCTCTCCCCAGCATCCCTCTTCCATTATCCCTACTTAACTGATGACATTTTTCAGCTGAGCAGAAAGCAAACTCAAGCAAGAGCCAAGGCAAGTGTGTCTGGAGAAACTTATTTACTCCTCGCCTCAATTTTGCCTCTGCCTGCTGGCAACACAGAGATGTGGAGCTGTCTTCCAGCTGAGCTCCCCTGAGTGATGTTACCCTGCTCTCTCGAGTGCCTGTACTTCTTGCAAGCTCCAGCTGGTGGGGATTGGCTGGGTCATTCCATGGGGTGGCTAACACCTCGCTAGAGGAGGGGTGGGGCAATCCACAATAAAGGTGCACCCCCTTCTTAAGATGACCTCCCTGCAACCAGGGGATTGCAACAACTCCTGCCCGGTTGCAAACATCAGTATCGGTATCAAGCTTTACTTCAGTTACAAACCAGCATAAGATAAAACATACGGATAAACTGAACACATAAGACTTAAAACAGGAAAGGAATAAAAACTAGTAATTAAAAGGTGATTATATCATACATACTTAAAAAGACAGAAACAGCGACAAACAGTTAAAAGCAGCTATAAGGGAGGAAGCGTGAAGGAGCACATTCTGGGCCTAGTTTGTGGCGCAAACAATCCTTCAAAGACTATCCATCATGGCGGCGCAGAATCTAGCAACTTAGTATGTAACGTCTGGGTTTTCACCTTGAAGTAGCAGGGAGGTATAAAGTTGTTCTGTGCTACCTGGGAATTTGTGCAGTATAGGCAAGATGAACCTAGCTCATACACCAGTATAGTATCGGCAGTGAAAAGAGACACGTCCTGTTGTTTCCAGTTGCCCAGAGCGACACAGGCATTTCCTCTCCTTTTATGATGTCTTCCTAAAGTGGCCTTCCTGGATGGCTGAAGGGAGGGCCTGGCAGCAAGCCAGAGTAAAAGCCCTTCACTGTTTTGGAATTTCAAGGTTGGTTATATATGGCATCTTTTGGTCTTTTGGTTTCATAGATTAAAAATTTCAGGGACCTGGCTAGATCTGCTTGGGGTTCGGTATCTTCCATGCTCAGTTTGATGGGGTTTTTTGGCTTGTTCATACCCGTTGAGTAGGATCTGCGGGGTAAAGCCTAGAGGTGTTATTATGTTTATCACTGCACATTTCCATGTCATTTGGAAACCATCCTTAATAGTTAAGGGAGAAAGGCCATTCAGGAGGAAGGGTAGTCTCAGCCAGTAATTTAGTGTGGTGAGCCATACTCTAACTTTGATTCTTACAAATCCAGTTTCGAGATGTATGGTAGCACTGGAGATGTGTTTAGGCACCTGTAGGGCTGATATTAAGAATTTAGATTGTACCAGTTCTAATGGTGTAAAATTGGCAAGGGGACTTAATTGGGCACCATATACAAGCTGCGCAATGGATTTGAGGGCTGCAGGTATATATTGTCCACCTTTAGCTCTGAGGTACCTGAGTATTGCATTTACGCTTCTCTGGGCATTTCCTGCAACATAACCCTCGTGGGCTTTTCTACTTCCCGAGGAATGAAGGATTAAACCCAAATATTTAAAGAAGGTGACCTGCTCAATCTTATGGCCATCAATTTACCATGAGCAAGGTTTGGGCCTTTTGGCAAAGACGATGATTTGGATTTTCTGATATTTTAGTTCTAGTTTGCTCTCCTTGCAAGGTGCTCGAGAGCGTGGTGGCTTTGGAACTTCAAGGGTGCTTGAAGGATTCTCATGATCTCGATTCATTTCAGTCCAGCTTCAGGCCAGGTTTTAGCACAGTCTGGCAGCCACAAGCACCCCATGATATATCCTAGGGCTCCTTGCAGATGGTGAGCAGTTAAATCCTTCCAGGGCATCAATGGAGGCAGACTACACATAACACTTCTTTTGCCCGGCATGCACACAGGGCTACCCAGAGAAGCCAGGAGATGCACTGTGAACAGGACAACCTGCCGTTCTCTGCAGCTCAGACAGGAAGTCCCAGACATGGGGAGAATCTTCAGTTTGACATCCAACTTTTGGAACAAGGCCAAGATGGAGCTCTGAGGAAGCCTTCAATTCATACCAAGTCATGGCGGCCAAGCATTCCTGGCACTCTTTTCCTGGCATCGTGGGTCTTCATTTCTTTCTCTTGCAGCTCCTCACATCCATCTTTTGCTACACACCTCTTTAGATTCTCTTGTTTGCTAACCCTTGTTTGCTTCCTTCATCCCTTCTTCATTCCTTCATCCACAGAAGCCCTGCTGTTAGTTTTAGATGATTCAACAGTCACATGAGTGGCTTTCCCCTCAGACTTTTGACATTGTACAGTTGCCATACTAACACTGCTTTATTTCATCGGCCTGAGCCATCTCTTGCCACATGTCCTGCTTATGTTCATGTTAACAACCCTTTCCGCTACATCCCTTTTGATCTTTGTTATATCCAATTTTTAGTTTTTCTATCTTTTAATGATATTCCTAGCACTGCACACTCCATGGCGTGTTGTATTGTTCTTAAACTTTTCATATTTCTTTGTATCATGGTCCAGTTCTCCACTCCATAAAACATCGCAGGCAATATGCACATATTGAATACTTTAGCTTTCAAATCTAAGCATCATGGCTAGGCCAGTATAAACACTAGACTGGCACAACTGTGATATCATACCGGTCCAACATATCTTAAGGACTGGTCTGTACAGCAATACTCCTGGTGCAAAAATTTTATTAAAGTGGCCTAGACATGCCCATTTAGTCGGCTCCACCATACTAAGCTTCAGAATACTTGTGGCTTCTGCAAATGTCACCTACAGAGTGAACAACTTAAAACTTGGCAGACATTATGTACCTGATGAGGACTGTGAATGTGCCAAATTTCAAACTGATTTCCACAGCTACAGCCAGCTAACAAGTGCAAAAATAAACTGAGCACATTTACCCAGTTTGGTTCAATATTTATATCATATCATACCCTTCTTTCCAATTTCAGTGAAAACTATTGATGTGCTTTATTCAGTCTTGTCAAGGATGGGACTCTTTCATTGATTTGGTGATATTTTGGGCAGCAGCTCAAAAGTTACTAAGCTTCTTCCTGCCCAATTAAAGCCTATGGTAGTAACTACTGGCATAATAATACGGTGCACACATTCTCCAGTTTTGAAGTGAGAATTCTGCCAGTATGCCAGTGTTTGGAGATTGAGTCACCTAGCGGATGCTATATGCAGTGATAATTCCTTTAGTTATGGGATATGACAGTGCTGTGCAGTGGTCACCCATCTTTTTGATCCAGTGGGCACATTTGGAAGCCCAAGAGTCTGAATTAGTATGTAGTACCTAGACAGCATCTTAAAAAGCAGAGACATCACCTTGCCAACAAAGGTCTGTATAGTTAAAGCTATGGTTTTCCCAGTAGTGATATATGGAAGTGAGAGCTGGACCATAAAGAAGGCTGATCTCTGAAGAATTGATGCGTTTGAATTATGGTGCTGGAGGAGACTCTTGAGAGTCCCATGGACTGCAAGAAGATCAAACCTCTCCATTCTGAAGGAAATCAGCCCTGAGTGCTCACTGGAAGGACAGATCCTGAAGCTGAGGCTCCAATACTTTGGCCACCTCATGACAAGAGAAGACTCCTTGGAAAAGACCCTGATGTTGGGAAAGATTGAGGGCACAAGGAGAAGGGGACGACCGAGGACGAGATGGTTGGATAGTGTTCTTGAAGCTACCAGCATGAGTTTGACCAAGCTGCGGAAGGCAGTGGAAGACAGGAGTGACTGGCGTGCTCTGGTCCATGGGGTCACAAAGAGTCGGACACAACTAAATGACTAATCAACAACAACAACACCTCCATCATGAAGCTGGATGTCTCTCAATTCCAGTTGCTGGGACTCACAAGTGGGCAGTGTGCTCATGTTGGCTTTCCCATAATGGGAAAACAAGATGGTGAGCTAGATGGGTTTTCAGTCTCATCCAGGCTCTTCTAATGTTTTTATGCCATAGTTAACACCCACACCCCTTGGGGTATGTGACATATTGCACATAACTGTGTTCCCAAACACCATTGTGACAGATGATGGTACCAGCAGTGGAAAAACATCAAGGCAAGTTTTGAAAATAATCTACTCATTTCATAGATTTTAAAGAGGTGACAAGCAAAGGTACATCTTGGCAGTGTGAAAGTGGGGAACAGAACTGAATCTGAGCAGGAATAGGCAGGGGCGGAGGAAGGGGGGTGCTGTGGAGGCGGGCCACCCCGGATGTTACTGCTGAGGGGAGTGTCAAAATGCCGGGTGGCACTCACCACGGGGCCTGCAGCGTGCCTGAGCCACGTGTCTCTCGTGGGAGTGACACAGTGGCTTGGGTGCCCACAGGCTCCACCCTGCCCCCAAAGCTCCGCCCGCCACCTCCCCCTCAGCTGTAGGGCAGCTGAGTGGGAGGAGGCAGGCAGACTCCTTGGAGGCCCCACAGAGTGTCCTGCCCCGGCTGGCCCTGCCCCCATAGCCAGCTGGCCCCACCGCCACAGATGTCTGGCCCCACCCCTGGGTGCAGGGCACGCGCACCACCCCAGGCACCCGATCGGCTTGCT